AGCTGGTGATTTCAAATAAACCTCTTGGACTATAACCTGGTGTCTTGTGACTTCTGACTTTGTTCAAGTTTGTTCAATAACAACTGTTTTGTTGTTTAAATTTAGCCCTGGAATCCTGCCATTTATTTTCTTACCCTTAGTTCTTTTGCATATTCTATTCTTTAAAAGATTATGGTCTTTCAAGTCAGATGCTAACGAACATCCAGCTTATCCAATATTTTCATAACTGGAATCTTGACATCTTTCAGCTTCATCTATAAAAGCCACCTTTGGAATCTTCTGTATTTCTTTCCTACAAACAATATTTTACTTGCAGCCACACCTGCCATTAATTTGGCTCCTGATGTGTTTTGCCTAGTTCTATCAGTAATATCTGAATTTACACTGTTCAGTCTGTTTTGTATTAGTATTTATGATACAGAAATGGTTCATTCAACCCACTTGGTTGGTGTTGGTATTTAGGCTTCACTTGAGTCACCTCACATGCTTTTTCTAATCCTGGCAACATTTCCCTCGAGATAGTAAGAACTGCCGATGCTGGAGTCAGAGATAACGCAGCATAGAGTTGGAGGAACACAGCAGGCCGGGCAGGTCCCGTTTTGGGTCGGGACCCTTCTTCAGAAATGGGCGAGGGGGAAGGGAGCTGGGAAATAAATAGAGAGAGGAGGGGAGAGGATGGGGAAGGTAGCTGGGGTGGTGATAGGTGAGTGCAGGTAGGGAGTGGTGGGGATTGGTCAGTGAGGTGGGAGAGAAGACAGACAGATTGCATCAGGTCAAGGAGACGGGGATGAGAGGGAGGGTTGGTTATATGTGGACTTTACTAGTTTCAAATGTGGACTTTACTAGTTTCAAAATCTCCCCACCCCCGGCCTCATCCCATGACCGACCCTCCCTCTCATCCCTGTCTCCTTGACCTGACACAATTATAGATAACACAGTGTAGAGGTGGATGAACACAGCAGGCCAGGCAGCATTAGAGGAGCAGGAAAGCTGACGTTTCAGGTCGGGACCCAACCTGTCCATCTTCTCTCCCACCTATCCGCTCCTCCCACCTCACTCACTTACCACCATCCTACCTACCTTCCCTAGCCCCACCTCTCCTCTCTCTATTTATTTCAGAGCTCCCTTCCCCCTCCCCAATTTCTGAAGAAGAGTCCCAACCGGAAATGTCAGCTTTCCTGCTCCTCTGATGCTGCCTGGCCTGCTGTGTTCCTCCAACATTTCCCTCGACTATTTTTCTCTTCATATGATGATATGGTTTTCCCAAAGGCATTGATTCAATTTCTTTCAACTACTCCCCATGGTAGTGAGTTCCACATTCTGACCATTCTGAGTAAAGATTTTTGCCCTGAATTGTCTATTGGATTCATTGACGACTATTTTGTATTTATGGCTCCTAATTCTGGTCTTCCCTGACTCTTATATATGTTCATTCTATCAAGCTTAGGGGAGAAGTGCAGGGGAAATGTTTTACACAGAGGGTGGTGGGTGCCTGGAACACACTGCTAGTGGAGGTAGTGGAAACAGGCATGTTAGCAACATTTAAGGCATACCTTGATAGAACAGGAGGTGAAGAGGGATAGAAACCGTGTATGGGCAATAAGTAGCGGGTCTAAATAATGATTAGGAATCAGTGTGGGCTTTTCCTGTGCTGTATTGTATTGTATTAAGATCAACTTTGCATTTTCTGGAGAAAAGAACTCCAGCCTAATCAATCGTTTTTGGTGAGTAGAAATCACTTCACACTTGATCAGATTTCACTGATGAGGCCTGAGAAAGATTAACTGTCCCAGCACCAAGTCCTGGGATCAATACTTCCCATCTCCCTCGGCCCAGTAACTCACGTTTCCCAGTCAGAACTTCCATTCTGTGGGTCAAATGCAAGACTCACTGCTCAAAGTTATGTGTCCTGTATGTTTGAGGGTTTTGGATGGCAAAACAAGTCAAACTTTGTTCATAATGCATTTGACCAACTTCATTTAATGTTGAAGCAACAAAGTTATTACAATTTAAGTAAAATATAAGTACAATTCATTCTGAATGAAGTGTGGTACAGAAATAAAACCTATAAATAGAATACCCGCAAAAATAAACTGTTTATTAAAAACACCGACACAAAAGATTTCATCGAATTATTCCACAATATGACACATTCATTTCATATTCTTTAGACTTCAGTCGGTCCTCGCAATGCAAAGCCTGAGATGTTGCATCTCATTGCTGCATGCAGGATCTTGCTGTGTGCAAAGTCACTTCAATATTCCTCTGAATAGCAGCAAGATCTAGACTTCAGGAAGTACATCATTGGCTGCAAAGTGCTTTGGGGTACCGTGAGACTGTGAAAGATACCACAGAAATCCTATTTCTGTCTCTATAGCAGTCATCGCCTCAATGAGTAGCACACTCATCTCTGAGTCAGAATCTCCAGAGACTTGAGAACAAAACCTAGGCTGACATTCCTAGTGCAACACTGATTGAGTGCTGCTCTGTCAGAGGGGCTGTCCTCTGAATGCTGTAGAAAGAGGAATATAAATAAAGTCAATGTTGTTTTCAACATTCTCTTGAAAACTAGTCAAAAACTCTAGTGTGCAAACTGGGGGGAAATTAGATACATTGGAGGCTTTTCAAAGGATTTTGATGCACTGAGTTTTAAAGAAACATTCCTGATAGGTTTTACTTCCTGTTATCACATTGGATGTTCCCAAATCCGTGTGTAAGATTCTGAAGAACACAGGAGACGCTGAGAATAACTTTCCAGATTACCGGAAAAAAAACATTGTAAGGGAGACAGAGTGTGGCTGAGAAAGGTGAGGCCAATAATTTTATGTAGGTTATTCTTCAACTGGCTGTTGGTACACTTTAATCTATTATGTGGACCACTGAATATTGGCAAATCATTATGGGCAGGACTGCAAGGCTTTTTCAAAGACAGATCATGTTCAAGCAATACTGTGCAAGTTCTGAATTGAAGGAATGCCTGATAGGATGCTTAAAGTGGATGAGATTTCTGTGGAGTTGCAAAAAGCGTTGATACATTAACCCAAAACCACCCATGAAGCCAGTACCAGCATAACACAAGATTCAGTATCACTGGGGAATTGGCATCTGAACGCTGGCCTGAAATGTTAACTCTATTTTTTTCTCTCTTTGCTGATGCTGCCTGAGCTGCTGAGTGTTATCCAGCACTTTTTTTTCTTTTTTTTTATTTCAAAGTTCCAGGATCTGCTGTGACTTGCCTTTGCTCCTGAACTGTCTCTTTCAGAATCTCCGGTTCTGGGGATGGGTTGCACTATTTCTTTTTGAGACCTTGACTAATCAGCATTTGTGCCCAGCATTCTCTGGGTTGATTTCATAGAATTCTACTGCAATGAAACTGGTCATTCAGCCCAAAAAGTCTGTGCTAGTACTTAAACTCCAGATGAAGCTCCTTCAACCAGATTGTTGAAGGCTTTTCTACAGTTGCTGTCTGCAAAGCTCCTATGTGAAATGTATTCATCGAATTGTAGTGGGCATTGGCACATAGTGCAGAATTCCTCTAAACATTGGCAATTTTATTCAGCATAGGGAACAGATAACTACTGTACCAAGTTGTAAAAAAGTCCAGGGATTGGCTCTGCATAGCTGCGGCAGAACAGAGCAAAGTTCGTTCTGTGTCTCAGTGTGTGACACTGGACCTCAAAGACCTTAACACAAACACTGGATATCCCTGATGGAAAGTGTTCCATCACCCTTAGCTCTTAATCCAACCCTGAATCTTCTACTGCAATCCCAAATCACTGCAGAACCTCTGGAATAATTTAAAGTTAACTGGCCCAGCAGGAACAAAATAGGCTGAGAGAGGCTGGAAAATTAGATGAGATGGGTTGAGGGGAGATGGGCCAGGTCGGGTTGAGATACTTTGGAATAGGAAGATTGTGCAGGTTCAGGAGTTGGGGGGTGGGGTGTGGTGTTGGTGCTCCACCATTCAGTCAGGTCATGGTTGTTCTGGTTGTGGACTCAACTCCACATTATTCCTGTAATAGGAAATGGAAGCAGTGGCTCGCAAAAAACTATATAAAGGCGGCTAATAGCCAGGAAGGCTTTTTGAAGCTTTGGTTAATTATAGGATACTTTCAAAATGAACATTCAGGGAGCATCTAGGAAAAGCATTTTGAACAGGAAGCCTTTTAAAAGTAGCATTGACATTAGTTTTGTTTTCCATGACAACACATACTTTGTAAGATTCCACTGCAGATGTTCTTCTGAGATTTACATCGTTGACATTAATAGATATGGAAACAGCAAAGGAGATAATCTAGTCTTTCATGATATTGACCAGGAGACTATGGAGAAACTTGTTTCCTTTCTTTAATTAATAGCATTGAATCTTTTATGGCCAGCTCATAGAGAAGCCAGGACCTTAGTTTAAGAACTTACTCAAATGTGGCACCACTGAGAGTGTTGCACTCCCTTCGTACTGCACTGGAAGTGTCAGCCTGGATTATATACTCAACTCTCTACAATGGGACTTGAACCCATCGCCTTCTGATTCAGACAAAAAAGAACAATCAATACACTGGTTGATATAGGGTCTTGACATTAATGTTCAATCCTCTAGGTCTCTGGATCAACAATCGTGCTTGAATATTTCCTTTCCTCTTTCTGTCTGCAATGACAAAGGTTGACAAGAGGCTCCAGTAGCCTCATCGGAATTCCACATGAACTCTCTGATACAAAGAAGAGGAGGATGGGATCAGCCATGTAGTTCAAACTCATCAACAGCAACCCAAAGTAGTAATAATGGAATGAGGTCTTCACAAAGCTGCAAGTATCCTCAAGTAGGGTTCTGACTATTAGCATGATGTGATAAGGGTCAAGGCAAATGCAAAATATGACAATGACACCCAACACTAACTTCCTGATCTTTCTAATCTTGCTGAATGTCTTATCTCTTCCAGATAGATGATAACAACTGGTGATAGGAAAAAGTTAACAAAACAATGGGGAAAAGGAAACCCACAGAGAGAGATGGTAATAGTTTATTCTCCATTGCCAAGGCTACAATAGATAATGCTCAAGACACAGCAAGTGGTTGTTTTGATCTTTCACAGTCCCAATTGAAGGAGAAAATGAAAAGACTGGTTCCAATTTCTTTGATCCAGACGAGGGCACTGACCAGAAGCACAGCTTTCAAAGTTCAGAAGGTGTGGAATCTTAAAGGGTGGACCACTACCAGGTAGCGAACCATGGAGATGTAACAGATGAATGTAATGCTCACATATATACTCCCATAGAGGATGATCCCAGTGATCTTGCATAGTAACTTGCCATTCACCCAATGATCTTTCATCAGTAAGTATTGGATCCACAAGGGCAGACAGGCGAGGTGCAACAGGTCAGAGATGGGCAGCTGACAGCGATAGAGTCCCAGCTTATTTCTCTGCCTGATCTGTAGGTAGGTGTGATACAGAGACAGGAGATTAGCTGGAAGGCCGATACTGAAGACCCCAATATAGACGGTGGGAAAGACGATCTGGTGGATACTGTAATCGAAGGACAGTTGGTGGAATTATCACACTCTGACTGAATGGCCACCTCTACAGATGAAGAGAATATACTTGCCCTGCTGCAGTCTTCAAGTTCACCAGGAAATCAAACCAAGAGGTTTTGCTAAGGTGGGGTGGAGTTTGGGGGGAATTAAAAACAAGAAAGAGATTATAAAACAAAACAATCGATGCTCTATGTTCTGTGTAGACATGGATGAACAAATATTAACATCAGAAAGTGGCGCTTAGGCTCTTAGGACCAGGCCATTCAATCTCTCTAGCATGCAATGCTATTGAATTAGGTCATGGCAGGTCATTTACTGACTCCATTTCATAACATCCTTTACAAGCAACAATCAATTCACCTCAATTTTGAAGTCTTCAGTTGAGCCCAGCCTCTGAACTCTTTTCTGGGAGGGAGTTTCAGATTTTCACTAGCTTTCTGTGTGAGGTAGTGCTTCCTGACATTATCCCGAACTCTCATTTGGATGTGAAGCCCCTTTGTTCCGGGATCCCCTCAGCAGACAAAGATCACTCAGAAGACTTTGGGGGTCAGTGTTGAGTGATTATATTTTTGTGAAGCTTCTTGGGATAGAGTCATAGAGCCATACAGCATGGAAACAGACCCTTTGATCTAACTCTTCCATGCTGACCAAGAACAGCTGTCAATTTATACACTATGACCTCCAGAAAGCAGCAATAGAAACAGAAAATTGGAACAAGAGTAGACCATTCAGCCCTTTTAGCCTGCTCCGCTATTCAACATAATCATGATTGATCATCCAACTCAGTGTCCTGTTCCCATTTTCTCCCCATACCCTTTTCCCTTCTGAGCTCCTTCTTGAAAATACTTAGTGTTTTGACCTCAACCACTTTCTGTGATGGAGAATTTAACATGCTGACCACTCCCTGAGTGAAGAAGTTCTCCTCAACCCAATCTTTAGACTATGACCAATAGGTCAATACAGTCGAGAAGGGGGGTTTGAGACGCCCTTAAGAAGTAATTACTCCATTCAACTGAGCAAGATTAGAGCTCAGGGAAAACCCATGAATATACCTAGCTTAGTGATGCTAGCTGCCAGCAAAGAGTGCATGCAGTTTTTAGCATTTGGGTGAGTGTGGATCCAGGACAGGAAGATGATCGACTAACGCAGGAGCAATTGTTCAGGCAGTCCATGATGGAACTGCTCTTTACAGGGAGTTTCAAGGCTAGATCAACAAAAGTGAACAATTGTGAAGTTTAATGCTTCAGTGAGTTCTGGGATGGTTGATGTAGCCAATGTGTGACTTGCAGGCTCTGCCACGTGCATGTAGTTGGGTAGATGAGGCTCAAACGTCTCAATCTCACACACATACACACACACACAGATACTGTCTCACACACACACAGTAACACATACACACATAGATACTCACACACGCACAAGCGCAGATACTCAGACATGGCCACAGTAACACACACACATAGATACTGACAGACAAACACACAGTAACACACACACATAGATACTCACACACATACAGGGAAACACACACACACAGAAGCACATACACACACTTGATACACTCAGACACACACTCTCACACACAGAAGCATACATACAGATTTTCAAAGAATCACACACAGTAACACTAACACACACATGTTCACAGTCACTCACATACTCACGCTAACAGAGATACACCACACTCACTGACATACAATCACTCATAGTCACACAGACAACCACAAGCCAACAGAGATTGATATACTCAGATACAGAATTCTGATGAAGAGTTATATCAGCCTTGAAACGTTAACTCTGTTTCTGTCTCCGCAAATGCTGTTAGAGCTGCTGAGATTCTCTGGAACTTGCTGTCTTTACTTTAGATCACCTGCAGCTGCAGTATTTTGCTTTTATATGAGACACTCTTGTAATAAACCTCCTTTATACATCATACTCTGTCCACTGACCCCTTCACATCTGACCATGTTTGGAGATTTTACTGAAAGCCCAGGAGAAGTTTAATTAGCAATTCACACCTTTGAGTGTTGGTAATCGTAATTTGCTTGTTTCTGGTGTCTTTGAGGTAAGAGACTTGTTTTGGTTGTAAGTGGTAAGTTGTCCTTCATCTCAAGGGTCACAATTTCTTCTTTTTTTCCACATGGAAAGAGATTGATAACAGGATCCAGGAACCTTGCCAACCAGCTCTGTGAACTCTGTGATATGAAACAGTACAAAACAGGGTCGGCCACACAGTTTAAACTCATCAGCAGGAGCCCAAAATGGTAAACCTCAAAAATACTGTCAGCAAAGGGACAGTCATACTCAAATATGCTTCGAACCATCAGGAAAATGTGATAAGGAGCAAAGCAAGCCAGGAAAATGATGATTGTCCCAGAAACCAATTTTTTTATTCTTAATTTCCGCTGTCTTTCAAGTCCATGGCTTTTGTGGACAACCCTCAACACTTTATGGTAAGAGTAGATTAATAAAATCAAAGGGAGGCTGAAGCCAATCGAAAGTTTATAAATATTTAAATATCTGTCCTTTTGACGCAGAGGATAATGTTCAAAACACAAAGTGTCATTCCCCTCGTCTTTACTGAGAACCTTGGAGCCCATGTAAATGGTGCAGACGGCTATCTCCTTGAGCCAGATGAGAATACTGATAAGCAAAGCAGCCTTCCTGCTGTGTATGAATTTAAATTTCAGAGGGTAAGCCACGACGAGGAAGCGATTAATGGCAATGAAGCAGAGGAAGCCAATGCTGATGTAGATATTCTGGTAGAGGAGCAGACCACTGAAGATGCAAAGTTCCCGAGAATATTGCCAGTCATCATGTTGCAGCATGTACTGAATCCACAAAGGTAAGGAAAGGAGGTACAACAGGTCTGAGATGGTCAGATTACAGAGATAGATTCCCAGCTCATTCTTCTGTCTGATCTGTAGGTAGCTATGATACAGGGACAGGAGGTTAATTGGGAGACCAATGATGAAGACCCCAATGTAGACGGTGGGAAACAGGATCTGGTGGATACTGTGGTCGACAGAACAGTTGACCATCGTTCAACACAACCCTGGAAATTTTCTTTCAAAATAAATTTATTTGTGCATTGGATTCCCGGCTATGGTCTTGCTAGTTGTATCAAACTTGTCCTGATATTATTTCTTCAAATTCTTTTTCTTTGCAGATTTTCTGGCTGGAGGGATAGAGACACAGAGAAACTGAGAAAATGCCTCATGATTTTCAATTACAACCATCTATCATTCATTCATTGTATTGACTCTCTACCTGTTATGTTGCTGCATTTTGTTAAAAAAGCAAATTGGATTGTTCTAAAGAAGGGTTAAAACTTTAACTCTCTTTTCTCTGCACAATGCTGCCTGACTTACTGAGTTTCTCCAGCCATTTCTGTGTTTGTTTGTTTGTTTCAGTTCTTTATTTTATTACTGGATTGCTTCTCTTTTCATCAATACTATTACAGTTTTCAATCCATTGAAATGTCTGTCCAATATTCGTCCTATATTCTCCTATATTCGATTCAAATACAAAAAGCACTGTGCAGTAAATCTCTTAATTATATTTTAGAAAGAACTTGTGGATGATTTTAAAGACCCCGCTGCCCCCAGTGGGCAGAATGTAATATACTCAAACTTGCTGATGCTACAAACATAGATGGGAAGGCATGTATGATGAGGACATGAGGAACATGCACAGTGATGATAGGTTGAGTGAGTGGGCAAAAGCTTTGCAGTTGGAATTTAATGTAGGGAAGTATGTGGTCAGGCACTTTGGTAGGAAGATTAAAAATAATAAAAATGTATTATTTCAAAGGAGAGAGACTCCAAAAACAGTGCACAAAGGGTTCTGGGTATTCCTGTGCATGAAACACAAAAAGTTAGCATGCAGATGCAGCAAGTAATTAAGATAGCAAATTGAATTTTAACCTTTATTGTTGCAGGGTTGGAATTTATAAATGGATAAGTCTTGTTACAACTGTACAGGGTATTGCTGAGGCCACAGCTGCAGTACAGTCTGTAGTTTTAGTTCCCGTATTTAAGAAAATATTGGAGACATTTCAAGTGAGGTTTACTGGGCTTATTCCTGGGATGAGGGGGTAGACTTACGAAGAATGGCTAAACAGGTTAATCCTTTATTCATTTGAGTTCAGAAGAATGAGGGGGATCTTATTAAAACATACAAGATTCTGAGGGGGCTTACCAGGATAGATGCTGAGAAGATGTTTCCTACAAATGGGGGGAATCTCGAACCAGGGGACATTGTTACAAAATAAGGGGACACTCATTTAAAACTGAGATATGAAGGAATTTCTTCTCTCAGAGGGTAGTGAATATCTGGAACTCCCTAACCCAGAGGACTGTGGAGGCTTGATCACCGAAAGTATTTAAAGAGGAGGTAGATAGATTTTGAAATATTGAAGAGTTCGGGCAAATGAGGAGCTGACACTACAGATGGGTTGGAGCCTAAAGCAGATCAACCATGATCTTATGGAATTTCAGGACAGACTTGAGGGGCTGAAGGGCCTACTCTTGTTCCTATTTCTTCGGTTCTTATACTTTGTAAATGAACAATGTGGGCTGGGTATATATAATAAAGCAGGTGACCAGCTTGCCTTCCCTTGACCTGCTGGTTGGTCCAAGGTGTTAGCAACCTGCCAATTCTACAGCCCATTGAGCCTCTTAAATGGATGGTTAGCAGCGGCTTGAGGGCCCCATCCTGCCTCCGCTATCATTTTTCACACCTAAGTTGGAAGGCAAAGCAAGTTGGGCAGTCTACCAGCACGAGCTGCTGCCAGGTGGACTCCAAGGTGGAATTCAAGGTGAAGCTATCCACCCAAGGGGTCATCCCCCCAACGTCAAGGATGGTACCCACTCCTATCTCTCAAACTCATTCTAACCCAACCAATCCCACCCCAGTCACCCCATTGCTGCGGTCTACCAATAAGAACACAAGAAGTAGGAGTAGGCCATTCAGCCCCTCAAGCCTCCTCCATGATTCAATACAATGCTGGCTGATCTCACTTCAGTCTCAACTCCACTTTCCTGCCTGCTCTCCTTAACCCTTCAACCCATTACTCATTAAAAATCTATCTCCTCCTCAAATATTCTCAATGTCCCAGCATCCACCACACTCTAGGAGAGTGAATTCCACAGATTCGTGACCCTTTGAAATAAGTAATTTCTCTTCATCTCTGTTTTAAATCTGCTACCCCTTATCCTAAATTTATGATCTCTCTTTCTAGATTGCCCCACATGAGCAAAACATCCTCTCTGTGTCTACTTTGTTGATTCCTTTTAGCATCTACATCTCTCAATTAGATCTTCTCTCACTCTTCTCTCAATGTGACTGCTGCCTCCCATTCCTTGTCTAGATTGCCAGAGTCCTGTTGAAGCATAATGCCAAAACCTTTTTTTAAACAAAATACTCCTTTGATAGGGAACTGGAGTATTGCTGAAAACAACACATTTTGCCAACAATGCTAAAAATAATAGCTTCCAGTTCAATTGTTTATTTCATACACTCTTGTACCTTGCTGTTCATGCCTGTGTAGTTATTGCCTTGGGTATTTTAATTTATTAATTATTTACTTTTAGCTATTGTCCAGTTACAATTCCAGCCAATGTTAATACTGGACAAGTCAGATCCAAAAATGAAACCTGGCTTGATAGATCATACATTTAATTTTTAGTGGTTAGCTAATTAGTTACTAAATTAGTTAGCTTTTGGTAGTTAAGCACTGAAATATATTCACAAGAGGCTGCAGTTCTTTTCTAATATATACCATTTGTTATAAGTTTCTCATTTTTGAGTTAGTAACCAAGGGCTTTCTGTGTGTCTGAAGTTAATATATAGCAGTAAGTATTCCTGTAGCCATGGTGATTTCTTTTAAAACAATTTTTGAGACCTCACTTTAGAGTGAATGGGTTCCTGAGCGCTGTTCATGGATTTTTCTTTGGTTTTTCTTAGATTGTTTCTCAACCCAGCAAGTTAAATAATGAGGCCTGAAGGTTTGTTAGAGCCTTCTGGAGCTTATTTTTTAGCTTAGAGGAAACACAATGGCTTAGAGGGAGAGACTTTTTATTTCAGCTTTAGTTTGAGTTTTGGGCAGTCCTGTGAAGTCCTTGGATTAGGATGTCTATATAGACCAGTGCTCCTGAGAAGGAAAGGGTATATAGTGCCTTTTCCACATTTTTTTCTATCTGACTACTTATCTGATACCCGTTTGAATGTGCTGATTGAAACTGCTCAAATCCTTCCTACAGTATGGTACTCAGAATTGTATACAATACTTCTGCTGAGGTCTAACTATTATCTTATTCATGTTCATCACATCCTCCTTGCTGTTGTATCTATACTCCATTAATAAAGCTGAGGACACTCTATGTTTTATAAATTCCTCCCTCCACCTGTTCTGGCACCATTACTGACCTATGTACATACACATTCCAGTCTCTCTGCTTCTGCTCCCCCCATTAATATAATACCTTTTAGTTTACACTGTCTCTCTATGTTCTTTCTATGAAAATGTATCACCTCAGTCCTCTGTATTGAATTTCATTTGCTACTTAATCCCCACCTGTCCCCGCACCACCACCCCCACCCACCCCCACGTCCAAGTTTTATATCATTCACAGGCATTGAAATTGTCCCCTGCACACCAAGGTGCAAATCATTTATGTACATCAGGGAAAGCAATGGTTCCAATACTGAGCCCTGGGGAACTCCATTACAAACGTTCTTTCAGCTTGAAAAATGTCCATTAATCGTTACTCTCTGTTTCCCATCCCTCAGTCAATTTTGCATCTGCATTGCTACTAAAAAGCTCAAATTTTGCTTTTTTAAAATTAATTCACAGGATGTGGGTGTCTCTGAATATTTATTGCCCAGAGGGCAGTTAAAAGTCAACCACATTGTTGTGGATCTGGAGTCACATGTAGGCCCAACCAGGTAAGGATGGCAGTTTCCCTCCCTAAAGGACATTAATGAATAAGGTGGGTTTTTAAACCACAATCATCACTGGATTCATCGTCATCATCAGACTCTTAATTCCAGATATTTATTGAATTCAAATTCCACCATCTGCTGTGGTGGGATTCAAAATCAGCCTCTGCCCCGAGAACGTTGCCTGGCTTTCTGGATGAACACTCCAGTAACAATACCACTAGGCCATCACCTCCCCTCATGTGTTGTTAAGCACTGTATCAAATTCTTTCTGAACATCCATTTATGCCACACCAACAGCCTTCCCCTCATCAACCCTCTGTAATACCTTATCAAATATCTCCAGCAAGTTAGTTAAATACAATTTTCTCCTAAGAAGTCTGTGCTGGCTGTTTCTAATTAACCCAAATCTGTCCATGGGAATATTAATTCTATACTAAATTATTGTGTGTCTTTCCTGATCAGAGCAGTTCTAAAATGAACAGTAACCTGTCACCTCTCTCAGTCATCGTTGGTTCTGTTGGGTCCTTTCTGTCTTTTCCACTGCCATTTAATTTCCATTTATAATCAGCGAGCAGCAGTAGCAGACTGAGATCAGTAACAGCCTTTATCTCACATTGCTTGATGAGTCTTACACCTCTTAAAACTAACAGAATGATTACTCTCTACTCACGAACAAAAAGTGAATATCTGAAATCTGTGGTCGAAAAAGTCTTGCTTTTCCGTTGTGCCCTATGAGACTGCAGTAAACCCTGATGCAACTCAAAGCAAATGGAGCAGGTTTGAACATTGCTACAATGTAGGAGACACAGTGAAATTTCACACAGCAAGCCCCCGCAAGCAGCTATGAGACTGCCGCCAGATATTGATAGATATTTGCCAAGAATTCCCGTACTCTTCTTCAAAACAGGGCCATGAAATAATTGTAGGACAGATGGGAAATTTATTTAACATCTCATCCAGTTTCCAGATGATGTGTTACTTAATCACCTGATTAGCCTGCTCAAAAAAGCACATAAGTACTCATGCGCTTATTGTGTCCTTGCCGTGTCAAACTTTCTTGCACTGTTTCACAAAAATTGCTTTGTGAGAAAAGACACATTTAGTTGAAACTTTTCATCTTGTACTATCGGGACATTCGTAAGATATATCAATGCAAAGAGGGAAGAACATTTTAGATATTTTTAATCAACCTGTTATTACATACCTCTGGACCAGGTGGGATTGAACATTACC